GGGCCTGTAGTCAGGAAGATCTGAATTCAGATCCAGCTGCAGGTACTTACTAGCTGTGTGACCTTGGATGGGTCACTTAACCTTGTCTGCCTTGGTTTCCTCATCTGTAAAATGGAGATAATAATAATCTCTACCTCCCAGGGTGGTTGTGAGGCTCTTTGTAAAATGCTTAGCACAGTGCCTGGCACATAGTAGGTGCTCTATACATTCTTATTCTGTGCCTCAGTTTCCCTCTGTCAAACCCAGGCCTTCTGGATCCAAACCTATTTCCACTTATTGCCTCTTGTCCTTAGAGCTAACATCTGTAAACACAGCAAAGGGTAATGCACCAGACCCCGTGAAGCTCTAGCCCCAAAGCCTTCCTGTTGTCATCCCTAGGCCGTGGTTGGCTGCCAGAAGACTCCGGGAACCCCCAGATTAGGCAAAGCCGGCACCTGGTGTGATGAGCCTGGTTTCTACCGGGATATCAGGACCTTTGTCACATTGGTGTGAAAGACTGAAAAAGCAGAACGGCCCAAAGCCTGAGCGTGGCACTGGGGGCCAGGGAGCCGGGCCAGGCCTTCATTACCTGGGGTCCTCAGGGCTCCGGGGCAGGGGCGGGGGCAGGAACGCCAGCACGGAATCAGAATGGCTTCTCTGCAGGTACAAGAAAGTGTTTCCTTCTTTGGACCAATTCATTCTAAATTGAGAAATCAGCTTTGAATTTAAAAAGCAGGAAATCTCATGTTTCTTTTCTAGTCCATGAATAAACAGGAAAAGGAAGGAGGCGAAGAGCGAGTTAGATGCTAATGTTTCCCATTTCTAAAGCTGACCTGGCTAAATGTCTGAGCTTTCATTTTTTGTGTGAAAATGTCTTATTTCCCATTCATAGCCAAAGTGGTTAAAAATCCAGAAATACATCTCCATCTGGACGATCTAACTTGGAGCGTCTCGCATGTCTTTGGAGCGGCTTCATTTCTCCTTTGCTCCTAGAGCGCAGCGCCTTCTCTGACGTGGGCACGCCGTGCTGGGCGGTCCTGTGCCAGCATCTCCCAGGTCTCACAATCCATTCCAAAGCCCTTAAGGGAGACCTTGGGAGTGTCCTTGTATCTCTTCTGCCCAGCGTGTGAATGCTTGCCCTGTGCGAGCTCTCCATAAAGCAGTCTTTTTGACAAGCGAGCATTTTGCATTCGAGCAGCCTGGCCAGCCCGTGGGAGCTGTGCTCTCTGCAGTAGGGTCTGAATGTTTGGCGGTATAGTCCGTGAAAGGACCTTGGTGCCTGGTACCTTATCCTGCCAGGTGATCTTCAGAATCTTCCCAAGACGATTCCAGTGGAAGCGATTCTGTGTCCTGGCCTGGCGCTGTCCAGATTTCATAGGCAATTGGACTGATATCTCTAGTGCAGAGCATTCTGCTTCAGCCTGAGGATTCAGAGATGGGTCAAACTGAGACTGCCCTGCCCTCGTGGGGCTTATGATCTGATGACCTTTGTACAGACATCTGTGTATGAAGTGGGGGTTTGGAGAGCTGGACGGGGTCAGCGATGGCTGCCCGCTGCCCAGCCGGCCACTGTGAATGAAAACCACCGAATGCCATGCCGTTTCTTTATGTCAGCATGGAATTCATCTTTGCACCGTCATCATGGCTTTCAGGTGAATAATGTTGTGCACTTATGATGCAGCTCAGAATTACAGAGAATAAGAATGAAAGGCCAGCTTCCAAGAAGGAACTTACTTTAATTGGTTTTTCTACTGAGAATTTTCTTGAGTAGATACTTAAGAAGAATCTCTCTTCAAAGTCAGTTCTCCCCAGGCTTCGCAGGGCATGCCAGGGTGGGGCGGTTTGTGGCTGACCAGCCTGGGCTGGTCTTGAGGCCTCGGTGGGCACGAGGCTGCTGTTAGCATCTTAGAAGGAGCATGATCCAGCCTTCAAATGTTCCTGTGAACATTCCTCAAGAATCCCTGATCTGCACAGGAACCAGTGAGGACTCCTGAGTGTGCCCAGGGCCACAGGGTTTAGAGCTGCGTGGGAGCAGAAGGGGTCCCAAGGCCTGCAGAGGTGGGCTGACTCAGCTCTTCAGACTCCAGATCCCACGCTCCTTCCACCAGACTGGTCCTCCATGAGCAGGCAGGCCCATCTGTCAGGCAGCCTGCCGTCTCTTCCTTTTGTCGAGCATTTTCCTGAACATGTTGTCATTTCTATCTGACGGCCACGGGGCTTCCAAGTTTGAAGGGAGGCCTGGTTTTTTGTGCTGGGCTCCATTCTTTCTGGGGCCAAATGCATTTCCTGCATCACCTTGCTGAGGGGGGCCGGGAACTGATTTGAAAAAGCCAGGGGCACCTCTGGGCCCTCTCTGCCACGTAAGGAGCCCAGTGGCCTTGTTCATTCTCTCTCTCTTCCCACAATGACCCAGAGGGTGTTGGTCAGTCCTCAGCCAAGGAACCAGTGAGTATGACCACAGACAAAAGCATGGGGGGGAGGGGCGCCTTCACCTCCCAGACTCGCTGTCCTGCCTTCATTCAACTGATTGCTCATCTCTTCAGAGGAATCAGGAATGATCCTCATGCCCAGGAATCTACTAGATTACCATTGAGATTTTGTGTTCATAGCTCTGTGTCCGCTAGCTGAGCTGGGCCTGGAGTCAGGAAGACTTACTTGTCTGGGTGACCCTGGTCAGGTCATTCAGCCTCTGTCTGCCTCAGCTTCCTCAGCTGTAAAATGAGGACAATTATAGCTCCTACCTCCCAGAATTGTTGTGAGCATCAAATAAGATGACAATTGCAAAGCATTTCGCACAGCGCCTAGCGCGTAGTAGGTACTGTATCAGTACTAGCTGTTTTTACTGTGATTTAAGAGATAGGCGGTTTTTACAGTGTCTTGATTTCTCATAAAGTCACTAGCTTCCAAATGCTCTATTCTAATTTTTAAGAAGGTATTTTCTTCAGTAATCTTTTGGACTTCCTTTTCCATTTGGCCAATTTTGCTTTTTAGGGCATTCTTCTCCTCGTTGGCTTTTTGGACCTCTTTTGCCATTTGAATTAGGCTATTTTTTAAGGTGTTATTTTCTTCAGTATTTTTCTGGGTCTCCTTTAGCAGGCTGTTGACTCGTTTTGCATGATTTTCTTGCATCACTCTCATTTTTTCTTCTACTTCTCTTACTTGCTTCTCAAAATCCCTTTTGAGCTCTTCCAAGGCCTGAGACTGATTCATATTCTTCTTGGAGGCCTTGCATGCAGGAGCTTTGGCTTCATTGTCTTCTTCTGGTTGCATGTTTTGATCTTCTTTGTCATCAAAGTAAGATAATATAGTCTGACTCTTTTTGCGCTGCTTGCTCATGATCCCGGCCAATTACTTGAGTTTTAAACTCTTTGTTAAGGTGAAAGTCGGTTTCCAATGTGGAGAATGCACTGTCCCAAGCTTCGGGGGTTTGTACAGCTGTTTTCAGAGGTACCTCTAGGGACCTGAAAATTTTCAGTTCTTCCAAGGTGCTATGATAAGGGGCGAGGTGTTTCCCTTCCACCACCACAACAAGCTCCACCATACCAGCATTTCTCCTCACCCCAGGACCTCCCCTCAGAACTGTGACCCAGATCCAAGCACGGGCAAAGCAAGAGATTCCTGCCTCAGCACTGGCAAAGAGATCCCTGCAGCCCCCTCTGATCAGCCACTCAATTCCCCCTCAGTCTGTGGGTCGAAAGCTCAGAAGCCAGCCGCTGCCCTTGGGGTGGCTGAGATCTAGCTTCTTCTCTCACCGCAGTCACAGACTTTTCCCACTGACCTTCTAAGTTGTCTTGGGCGTTCTTGGGTTGAGAGAAGTCTGGAAACCGCCACAGCTGCCCTCGATTCAGTCCTCTGAAGCCTGCTCCAGGGTCGCTGTGGCCTATGCGCCCATGTCAAACTGCGCTCTTCTCCCTACCCGGCGCAATATACCTTTCCGATCAGCCATCCAGGCTGTCTTGGGCTGGAAGTTTGTTTCACTCTGTCTTTTTGTGGATTCTGCTGCTTTAGAATTTGTTTAGAGCCATTTTATGTAGGTATTTGGAAGGGTTGGGGGGGAGAGCTCACGCAAGTCACTGCTTTCCCTCCGCCATCTTCCTCTGCCCCTCCAAGATAGGCGGTTTTTAATCCAGGAGGTCTGACCCTGCTAACAACAGAAAGCTTCTCCTTCACTACCTGTGTGACCATGGGTGACTCCCTGCCCCTTCCTGGGGCTCAGTTTCCTCGTCTGTAAAAGAAGGGGCTTCTGCTTGGTGGTCCTTTGAGGTGCCCGTGTCCATGATCTTGTGAACTGCGGTCAGAGCTGAAAGGACGCGGGAGGGCTTCCTGCCTGTGACACTGCCCGCTGCTGTCCTTCCAGACAGATCCCTCTGAGGTGTAGGGGCAGTGTTGGTGCTGTGGCACTCGAGTTATCACGAAACCGGTTCCAGCCCTGGTCGCCCTCGGGCTGCTTCGCACCAGAGACCTTTTTCTGGTTCTCTTCTTAACCTGTGTCTGTTCTGAGCCGCAGGCAGCATCCTGCGGTGTTGGTGGGAGCCCCCAGAAAGGGGGGCAGACTTTGACAGGTCCCAGAGGAGCGCGTGGCCTCCCTCCCAGATCTCTTCCAGCCTGACTGGACGTTTCTTGTATGCCTGTTGTGGTTTGCTTGCCCGCTCCCCTGCCCCCGAAGGCAGGCACTGCTTCTGGGCTTTCTCACCTCCTCTAAGCTGAGGTTGGAGCCTGGCAGGTTCGTGGGGGTTTTTGAGTCGTTTCCATGGTGCCCGACTCTCCGTGACTATTCAGGGTTTTCTTGGTAGAGATGCTGGAGTGGCCTGCCATTTCTTCTCCAGCCTATTTTATAGATGAGGATACAGTAGGTGCTTAATAAATGCTTGTTAACAGAATGGCTGCCAGAACCCCTCAAAAGAAAATTGTTGCTAGGGAAAAAGCCCTTTAAAGAACAACAAAGAAGTGAGCAGCGTGATGATAAAATACCCAAACTGCTCCTGACGGCTCTGACTGGACTATCCTTCCCTCTCCCCCAGGTCATCACTCCATGTCGGAAGCTTATCTTGTGCGCCGATAACAGGAAGGAGATGGAGGACTGGATCGCGGCCCTGAAGACTGTGCAGAACCGGGAGCACTTTGAGGTGGCACGAGGATTCTTCTGACCGGGTGAAGGGTGGGGGTAGGGCGTCCTTGGCAGCCTGGGGACCCTTCCCAGAATCACGATTCTGTAGGAGAGGGGAGCGTTCTGTTAGAGGTCAGGGAAGACAAGGAGCTTAAGTTGTCCTCTCTGTGGACCCCGGGTTAAGAAGCCCCCTCCTCGACATCCACTGCCTCTGTGAGCCGTGCGCTGGGCTTCATGCCCGTGAGAGGCTCCGTCCCGAGGCGGGCTCCCCCGTGCACAGGGGCTCCCACACCCCTTGGGTCCAAGCCTGCTGGCCCCATCCACACTGGGTCCTAGCCAGCTAGGCTGGGGAACTATTTTAGCTTGTTTCCGCTTAGGACCCTTGGGACGTTTGCGGGGGCAGGGCATGTGTCCCCAGTCCCTCTTTCACTCAACACGTTTACCTTGCCCTCCCAGTCCACCCAGTACAGCATGGACCACTTCTCGGGCATGCACAATTGGTACGCCTGCTCCCACGCGAGGCCCACGTACTGCAACGTGTGCCGGGAGGCGCTCTCTGGGGTCACGTCCCATGGGCTGTCTTGTGAAGGTATGTGGGGAAACTGAGGCTGAGCTTGCCAGACTGACGGCCCAAGAGACAGAGCTGAGACTGGATCTCGGGCCCGCAGCTCTGCCCACAGTGTCCCTTATGTCCCTTTACCAGCCTGTTGCTGAGGCACCCAGGGGCTTGGCATCGAAGTGGACATCATGACCCCGGGGCTGACCGTACCTGAGAGCACAAGCGAAATGGGGGGTGGTCTCTCCGTGGGTCCTACAGCGGGCCCTGGGGGGATGGAACGGGCCCTTGTCCTAACCAGGTGGTCAGGGGAAGGGGCTGGCACACTGGAAGCGCCAAATTCACCAGCGAGAGCTCGCCTCTGACCAGGGCTTGAGGTTTGCTGTGGCCTTTACATGGCAGGGAGCTGCTGCTGCTGGATTATTGTCCCCATTTTACAGATGAGGAAACTGGGGCTGAGAGCGGTCCCATGACCAGAAGGGTGTGAGGTGGGATTAAAACTCAGGTCCTGTGGACTCTGAGCCCATGGCCCTGACCACTACACCACCCAGCCAGCTGGCTGCCTCCAGGCTTGGGGCCTGACTGCTGGGCCTCGCTTCTCATCAGGCCCTGCCACACATACATCTGGCAGCATTTCAGACAATGCCGCTTTTGGGGGGACAGTAATCAGTCATTTTGCTTAGACTGAGTACACCAGGTGAAGAAAAGAGAAGGGTGAGGTCAGAAAACAGAGAATCCAGAGCAGGGCCCAGGCCTTGGCCCGCAGGACCCTCCCTCCACTCTCCTGGGCCTTGGGCTGGTCCTCGTCCTTCTCCTGGCGCTGGGGGCAGGGCAGCCTTGCTCCAGGCTGCCCTCCATCGCTGATCCTCCTGCTGGGCCCCCTTCACTGTCCACGGGCTACCCAGGAGGCCTCATGGCGGGGCCCAGGCTCCACCCGGGTCTCTCCCTCTACTTTACTCCCCAGTGTGCAAGTTCAAAGCCCACAAGCGCTGCGCTGTCCGGGCAACCAACAACTGCAAGTGGACGACACTGGCTTCTATCGGAAAGGACATCCGAGAGGACGAGGACGGGGTAGGAGCCGCGCCTGCCTTGGGTCGGAAGGCCCCGGGTCCCCGTCTGTGTCCTCCCCCAGGTGTCCAGTGAAGGGGGTGGTTGTCCTGGTGCCTGCCTCACTGGGTTGCCCTCACTGAACTGGCAGAAAGGAGCTGGCCTCAGAGGTGTCAGGGTCCCGGGCTCAAGGTGTCAGATCCAAGGCCGCAGAGGCATCAGGGTCCCGGGCCTCGAGGTGTCAGATCCCAGGCCTCGGAGGCGTCAGGGTCCCGGGCCTCGAGGTGTCAGATCCCAGGCCTCGGAGGCGTCAGGGTCCCGGGCCTCGGGTGTCAGATCCCAGGCCTCGGAGGCGTCAGGGTCCCTGACCCCTGCATGGGTATCACAGGTCAAACCTAGGGTCAGCTCATCTCAGAGGGAGCCTTGGCTGAAAGGGCAGCCCTTAGAAGGGCCCTGGAGCTTGCTGGTCTGGACGTCTGGCCAGGCTCCAGCCCATGCTCAGACCCAGAGGGGAACCTCAGCCACTTCTGCGTCTGCTTGCTTTGCAGATCTCGATGCCCCATCAGTGGCTGGAAGGAAACCTCCCCGTGAGCGCCAAGTGCACGGTGTGTGAGAAGACGTGCGGCAGCGTGCTTCGGCTGCAGGACTGGCGCTGCCTCTGGTGTAAGGCCATGGTGAGCCACTGGGCAGCAGGGAGGGGTGGGCCCCCCATCCTGGTTCATTCGTCTCTCAGAGACAGTGAGGCGTGGCAGAGCGAGCCCATGACTTCAGACCAGGGAGCTTGGGTGCGGCCCCGTGGCTGCCCCTTCCAGCGCTGGCTCACTGAGGGTTTTCGTTCTGCCCCTTTCCTCCTGGTCTGTGCCACAGGCTTCCTTTTGCCCTGTGATGCTTGAATGCCCTCACTTTTGGGGAGTCGCTACTAGAGCGTTGCCATTTAAACTTGCATGGCCATGTGTGGGCATCAGATGAGCGTGGGCAGCCTATTGCCTGGGCAGGGGACCCTTCGTGTCCTGTTAGAAAAAGAGCGAGGCTTTAGAAGCTCTCCTGAGAAAGGGTCAGCGGGGGCCAGTGTTGGCCATGACCAAGCAGGGATTTGAGAAGGGAGGAGCCCAGCCTTATGGTCTGTCTAAATTATATCACCTGATTTAGGCTGGACATCTACAGTTGGTGGCACGGGGGCAGAGCACTGGGCCAAACATGTCCTCACACACCTACTTAGTTCTGTATACCCAGACAGGTCACTTAACCTCTGCTTGCCTCAGTTTCCTCATCTGTAAAACGGGTAATAATAGCCCCTACCTCCAGGGGAGGGGGGAAGGTGTTGTGAGGGCCAAATGAGATAACAGTTGTCCAGTGCTAAGTACAGTGCCCGGCACATAGTAGGCCCTGTATAAATGGTGATTCTGTTCTCCTTCCCCTGGTTCCAAAGAACTAGGGACCAGCTATGTCCTAAGCTCTGCTAGGAGAGTAATTTTAAAGTGGTGGTCATTGGATCATGGATTGCCGGCCAGAAGGGGCCTTAGAGACCATCGAGTCTCACCCTCTCATCCTATAGATGAGGAAACTGAGGCAGAGAGAGGTGAAGTGGGTGTGTGAGGCAGGCCTCAGACCAGGCTCCCTGACTCGGAAGCCAGGGTCCCAGCCACCCCAGGGGATTCCAGATGTCCGTGGAGATTCTCTAAGAAGAGTTGGGCAGCGGCAGCAGCTTTGACCTCAGGGGCCTCTGGGACACATTCCGGTGCCACGAAAGTCGCTGCCATTCTGGGGCAGCCTCCAGAGCCCCAGTGATGCTCGCTGCTGCCTGCCAGCCCCCCGTCGCCTTCTGGAGCCTCCAGGTCAGCGAGAGAAGACCCTGGCTGGCTTGTCCCATTTATTCACAGGAGCTTGCCTAGGCTAGCAGCCCAGCTGTTGGGCCATTTCCCTTCTCCTACACCCTCCTCCCCTTTTGACTGTCCAGATCCTAGGGGCTGGCAGCATGGCCTGGGGGCTGTCTCAGTGTGAGCACTAGATTGTCCTAGGAAGAAGGCACACCTCTTAAGTCAAGGATGTCCCAGAAGGACGTGTGTAGAGGTCACATTGAGCTCAGGTTAAGAAAATCCTTTGAAAGAAGTTAGCTTTTCAGTGAGGAAACATTGGTTAAAGGCTTCTGTGTTAGGGGCCGGGCGGGCAGGGTCCCAGGAAGGAAGGAGGAAAAAGAAGTGGCTAGGAGGTGCCACAGTGCAGAGAGCCCCAGGCCTGGAGTTTGGAAGAACCGAGTTCTAATTCAGCCTCAGACACTCATCAGCTGTGTAACCCAGGGCAAGCCACTTAAGCACTGTGGGCCTCAGTTTCCTTATCTGTAAGATGGGGATCATCATAGCAGCCACCTCCCGGAGCTGTCGTGGGCTCCAACAAGCCCTTGTAATCCATGAGGCACCATCCAAATGTGAGCTGGTGTCCTCATCCATTATTGTCAGCGACAGGGGACGCAGCACAGGGTGAGCAGGGACAGATGGCGCACTTAGGTGATCTTAATTACATTCACGTTCCCTCCAAACCTGAAATCCTGAAGGGGGGAGGGCAGGCATTCAGCAGGCAACGATGGGGGGCTGTCCAGAAAAGGCTGGCCGGTCCCTGATGATTGTTGTTTCAGGTACATACGTCGTGCAAGGATTCCCTACTGGCCAAGTGCCCCCTGGGCCTGTGCAAAGTGTCCGTCATTCCCCCGACCGCCCTGAACAGCATCGATTCTGATGGTGTGTATCTGCTGGCCCCCTCCTAGGTCTCTTCCCAGGCTTTGTTATCCAGGCAGGCCCCCCATCCCCCCAGGGTAGCTCCAGAGCAGCCAGGAGAGGAGGTGGGCGAGCGTTTGGCCCCCGAGGAGAAGCCAGGGAGGAGGACACTGGGGGCAGTGAGCTGGTGCTTGGGAAAAGGAGCTTGGGGCATGAGACCTCTGTTGAGGGTGGCAAGATAAGTTCTCGCCATGGTTGATAAGGTTGGAGAGTTAGGGGCCGTCAGCATCACCCCAGGGGTTGGTCAGACTTGATGGCCTGGCCAATGTTCCAGCTGTTAGGATAAACCAGGCCCACACGAGGCTCGCTGCCATGTGCGGGGGTGAGCGGCTTAATTTACTGAATCCAAGTCCGTCAGGAAAGGGACCAGCCCCGGGCAGATGTAATCTGCGTCCGTGGAGGGGGCTGGCTGAGGTTTCAGGTACCAGGTGAGACCAAGCCCCATTGCACTGTAAGTGACAGGGAGGCTGTCCTGGTGAGAAGAGAGGACTTAATGCTGGAGGCAGATGGGGAAAGGCCCAAGGGCTGCAGGCACAGAGGCTCCTTCCTCCATGGGCAGGGAAGCTTACCTACAGGCAGACTGTGGAAGCAAGTGGGAAAGAAAGGGGCCTAGCAGGACCACAGAGCAGGAAGCGTCCGAACACTGCGATCCTGGCTAAGCAAGGAGAGCTTGGTCAGCAGAACCCAGGAGATAGCGTGCAGAAACGGAATAGCCTGGCATTTGATAAGCCCAGAGATTCCGCTGCTGGGGTGAGGATTCAGTATTCAACAAAAACTGTTGGGAAAACTGGAAAAAGCAGTCTGGTCGAAATGAGGTATAGACCAGCATCTCAGGACAGGCATCAGGTGGGTTCATGATGGAGACGTAAAGGGTGACATCATAAGCAAATTTTGGAAGAAATACATCAGTCAGATCTATGAGTAAGGGAAGAGTTCATAATCAAAGAAGAGGTAGAAAAGATCACAGGAGGTAAAATGGACAATTTTTAACATGAAGTTTTTGTACAAACAAAACCAATGCAGCTAAAATTAGAAAAGAAGCAGGTAAATGGGGATGAGGCAGGGGGAATCTTCACAGTGTTTCTGTTAAGGTCTTATTTCTAAGATCTATAGGGAAACTGAGTCAAGTTTATAAGAATAAGAGCATTCCCCAGTTGACAGATAGTTGAAGGATATGTGCCAGTGGTTTTCAGAGGAGGAAATCCAAGCCATCAATAGCCATATAAAAAAAAAAAAATGCTCCAGGTCTCTTCCCTGAGGCCTGGTGGGAAGGACGTTCTTTACAAGCTGAGTCTTCACCATGTTACTGAGTTACCAGAGAGGCTGGGGCCTGTTTGTGTCTGTGTGCCACATGTAGAAATATACCCTTTGGGGGGGTGGGGTTAAGAATTAGCGTTCTTGAAGGAGAGAGTGAGAGAGAAGGGGAGCACCCTTCGTGTTACCTCTTCTAGATTTTGATCACGTCTCCCTTCCTTCTGTGCATCCAGGCTTCTGGAAAGCCACGTGTCCGCCATCTTGTACGAGCCCATTGCTGGTCTTTGTCAATTCCAAAAGTGGAGACAACCAGGGAGTGAAGTTTCTTAGAAGATTCAAACAGCTGCTGAATCCGGCCCAGGTCTTTGACCTCATGAATGGAGGACCCCACCTTGGGTAGGGGCAGAGTCCAGTGGGGCAGGTGGCATGGCAGAGCCTCAGACCCAGGCCAGCTGCAGATGGGAACAGCTCTCCTCTCCTCCTCACTCCTCTCCCCCCTCTTCTCTCTTCTTTCTCTCCCTCTCTTTCTCTCCCCATCCTTCTCTTTCTCTCCCTCTCTTCCTCTCC